GACATATTTAGTTACGATCATCATGCATCGCTGCCAACCCCTCTCCCCTAGCCTCCCCCATCATCGAAAAGCCCTAATGTCTTTTTGCATCTACTGTATATGCCATCTGCTTTTCGTTTACTTCTCATTGTTACTTTACACCTACCCCCGTCTGCATCCGCATCCCGATGGCTTCAAAATCCCTACGCTTAACGATCGATAAGAACGTATGTTTTGACTTACAGTGCCGTGTTGATGTCTTATAGAACTATGTAACTTCTCTACATAATGCTTTAAACAGCGATACTGAAACAATACTGCTGCTGCTTGTCGTTGGTAGGGGGCAGGTAGCGAGTGACAACGATCCGACGATGGACGATAAACAACAGAGGCATGAGGCAAATGCTGCAGCCATTAGAGCAGCTAATAGGACAAGTGATTGGCAAAGCTCATTCATGATGAATTCAATGAGAAAGACGGGACGACTCTGCTCCCCGCGAAACAACAGATCTATATTCCACAATTTTTACCCGAAATAACAGATTTAGTCGTGAGCACACTCTGACTGATTGAGTGTTGTTGGCCAGTGATGAATAAAATGGAAAAGTCACCATTCACCAACGATGGCAAAAGCCGTTCGGTCTGTAACGAACGGTTCGCTTTGTAACCTTCGATCATATATTATTAGCTAGAATAATCAACGGGGACGAGGAGAAGCAGACCTGGCTGTCGGCCGGGTCATGACTGGTAAAGCATGGGCCATGGCCTGCCTACTTGACTGTGTAACTGACGCGCGTCAAAGCTATGTCATCTATAGCTAGCGATATGACGGCGATAGTGATGATAAGTGTTACCTCTACTAATCTTGTGGCTTCTCTGATAGGGGCCCCCAAGACAGTCGCAACGGTTACTAACGGAGCTAACTGGCACAACCGTCTCCGTTATGACGCTGATACAGTCGATATCAACTTACGGAGGCTGCGTGACATCCCTCTTGGTAGCATCAAATGGTAGCATGAAATGAATGACAACAAACAGTGAACAAAAGCTCACCGGCCCGGGCCAAATCGGGCTTACGACGAGACCTCACCGTGTATATTGTACAACGCATCGTTATCCACCGAAACTCATGTTTTTTTTCTTCGCATTTTAATCGCCATACGTTGCGAATCCAACCAGATTGCCTTATTAATACGTAGAGGAAAGGAGAATAAGGACATTCTATGAACTAACTACGGGCACAATAAGTTAGTCACTTGCTTCTTGCCTTTCCAAGTCAGCAGTATATAATTTGAACTTGATCTATCGCGGCAGTCGCTGACCAGGTTTGCACCGAAGCTGAAGTGATTAACACTAATGATGTTTCCGATACTCATTAGATCTAGTTGAGATGACAGTGCAGTAGTCCCGATTCGTATTCCCCGAAGAAGAAGACGTACATTGAATCTTTTCTATACAAAACAGCCAAAATGTATTTGGCGTCATCCAATATAATTTTTACACGTGATCATTATTAGAGGGGAGACATCTTAGGGCTGAGCGTTCTTCATTTGTCGCTTTCTGGGCGTTTGTTTTCTTTAGCCAGCGAAAATAAGTAAACGATGCTGTCACAAACTGCGGCTGCTCGAAGCTGCTCGCCAACGCCCGCTCATCATGCGCTCAGTTTAGGAGAACAGATACGATCACACGCCGACACTGTCCCAACTCACAAACCTTTCGTTCCTGGCTTTTGTCCTTCTTGGTGCTCGTCGGCCATGCCAGGACACAAGAAAGGTGGAAGCGGCGGTCAAGTGCCCTGTCATGTGGGGGAAGACTGCTAGCCGTACGAATGGCTGCTGCAGAAGCAGTGCGGTTCTTTACTTTGTATTTTTATATTATTTTGTCAATCCCTCTCGATCACATTCTGGTCCTCTCGTAGGGCCCCTCATCGTCTATCAAGATTACACGGCCGCGGTCCGTGACAGTCGACTGGTTCCTTTCTGTCAGTGGTGCGATAGGATGGTGCTTTATGTGGCACCAGCACGTAACGCAGGATGGAGATCTCTCTTATAGCCGCTCTTTCCTCTGGCCAGCTGACTGACGCTCCCTCTAGAAACGCCATGATGGAGATACGCACAACATCCCCTTTTAAGCATCGAGACCAGAGGAGCGTTAACGCATTGGCTTATCATGTATCGTGTAGCAGTCGCATCGATCTAACAAATGTCGACTCAGTTCCGTCTCGATGAAGCTTTTTGCCGTGCGCTTATCCTGCCATTCTTATGATTAACCCTTACTTTGGTTACTGCTATTACCACAATCTTTAACATAGACGTCCTCTTATACTGCACGCTTTTGCATATATTTACATATAAATCGTATCTAGCCACCGTAGAGGAGCCAACAGCAGTAACGAATAAAAGATCGAGAACGGAGCATTTAGGATTTGAAGGAAGGCCCTGTCCACCCGAAGGAGACAAGGCAGCTATTTGTTGATGCTTCGTCAAAACCTGCCCCTTGGTGCCAAAAGCCTTTGTCCGGCGACCACGTCTCTGCTGCCGCCTACGGCGGCGGAAATGCAAAACAGAAAGAGAGCAAGTCAGATGTATACAAAATACGAGCAACATTGATAGCGGTTCTGATTGGACAAACCAGACCCATTTTATGTCTTCCAGAAAAGTTGGTAATAATAGGTCTGCAAGTGTAATAGGTAGAAAACGATGCGGTTCGATTGATTAAACGCGTTTTTCTTAAGGCGATCCCATAAAGATATAAGATAGAATAAAAAGCATACGATGATAAAGGATTTATGAAAAGAAAAAGGCAGCTGCAGAGACTCTTAACATTGCCGCCTAGCTAGTACGCTACAAGTACGTTTAATGAATCCAGTAATATCCCTTATGAGTCGAAACCGAGTGCTCGATTTACATGAAAGGATAGCCGACTAATAATGAAACTTTAGCGTAGTACTGATTTTAGCTTTGACAAAATATCAGCTGAGGTAAACAGCATCGTAGGTAATCAATCTGTGACCGGGCACAACCATAAGCTTGTAATGCATGATACGGGGTACATATAACCTATGAATGTAGATATTTCCCTCTTTAAGCCTTTCATCACCACCAGTAAAAGCAGTAGCCGTTGTAATTTTAACTAGACCAACTTATTATCTTTAAAAACACGTCAAACGGTGGCTGACAACTTAAACGTTAGATGCAAAACGCGAAATACGTTATTTCTAAAAGGTCAACCCGTTGACATAGGCTGTTGCTTTTTCGGGTTTAGAAGTCTGCAAAGAAGCAGCTAAACATCATTCATCTGCTTCCTTAGATCTAGAACTTTTTACGGATGACCTAGTTATTTATGTCAAAAGATATAAATAATTATGTCATCTATAAATTTTACATTGGCTGTTGCCTAGGGCTAAACCGAAAAGATCTATCTATCTATTGCCGCACCGAAGGGTCTGCAATTGTGAATTTACCTAAAACCTGTTGTTGTTTTGAATACACCGAATACATTCTCTTAGGGATAACTCATCTACGTTTTTCTTATTTCAGCTCTACAGCAGCAGTCGTCGGCTTCGGGATACAATGGCAAAGCGCGAATGTCTACTTGAGGCCAGAGATTCATCATCAGTCCCCCCGGGCCCCAGCTGGCAGTGTTTGGTCAGAAATAATCTAAAGGGATATAGATCAGGTCAAGTTAAGTTTCGGCGTTGTGGTAGTTTTCAGTCAGGACACAGACTAGGATCGTTTCCTGTCATCCTAACAAAGAAGCGTATCCGTTCTCTGCGTAAAGTATGTTTCTTTTCGTTTTTGGTCTCATGCTTCTGATTTGGAAGATCACAACCCAGCGAGCGAGACTTATCATTGCCTCGGACGTATCTTCTAACCTAAGATTCGGAGGGATCTCCAGCGCTGACGGCATTTTTTTCAGCGTTGTTCCACTTCAATCATTCGAGGTTCAGTAGAACTTCTACAAGTAAACGATTACAGCAGCCGGCGGCTTGCAATAAATAAGCGCTAATATTTGGAGAAATAAGTAAATATATCGGGGCTTTGAATTTCTCGGAAAAAAAGTAATCGTGCATGAGTCCATTAGGGCATGTGATTTCAAATGAATCTTATTTGCATAGAGCGGATCTTTGCTTCGTTTTAGCCGCTAGTTAATTTAGCTTAGAAGCATGGGAATGTACCGCGTGGAGAAGCAATAATGTTTCGGATTGGACAAATATTATGGAATCATAGAGAAGCAGCAAATACGGAGACGTTTTCTATCGTGTAGGCTACTACATCTATTATTTCCGAATATATTGATTTATATGGATTCGTCTGGTTAGGATGCTTTTTAAAACTCTTTTTTTTTTACCAATACCAATCGATGTGAGGAACGGTGGTTAGTAACCCTATTCTCCGCAGACCGCTTCAACTTTCATACTTTTCGTGTTAAGAGGAGGGAAGGGAAACGATTTAAAAATAACGCTCGAGCCATTAGCTATTTTCTTAGCCGGTTTGACTTAACATACGTAACGCAACTCTATATATAGTATATATCTACAGACTACATATTTATATATATATATAGACTGGTAAATGAATTGTTAGTATTACCACAAGCATGTATCACAAATAGGTAACCGGCTACATCAAACACACTCGTTGCCGTCAGGTTCTGTCCTCCCGCTGTCTGGTGACCAACAATCTTATTGTTGTTTTTCCTACGTTATGACTGTTTATTTATCAATTAATCTGATTTCGTGACAAAATGGCAAAGTTCGACCACGCCCGTCACGATACAGTGATTCCCTCATTGTAAGTTGGTCACGTCTACCAACAATAATCATCTACCACTTTAGACTTTATTCTGTTTGGTCATTTACCTAGAAAAATACATAGATATATAATGGTCACAATAGGGAACAGCAAAATTTCGAACGGCAGGATCTTCAAGCAACAACGTTTATCGAAATAGTCGATTTTCGTAACTGGCTTAAACGATAGCAGGATTACGAAGACGATGGTAAAATATGTCACACTCACCCTGGGGTAACTAAAGTTCCTCCAGCGAGACGCCCAACGCTGGCTTCTTGGTCTTTCTCTATATTTGGTTGGTTAATTTAATTATATCCTATTGGTTACTAAATGCACAATGATGATTTCACGAGGGGGCCATCTGAACACGTTTTTGAAGGGCCCCGCTTCCTCCCGCAGTGACGCCCTCTGGTAGTCGTTAGTGTGCCGTAAGCCACAGTTAGTCGTCGTCAAATCAGGACCATCAAAATACACTAACAACAACGTTAGAACTTATCGACTGAATGCACCTTCCGTGATTTATGATCTAGCCGCGGCTAGTCATTGATACGCGCTGCAACTTATTTGACGAGCACTATCTCACGAAACGTTTGATTGTCACGAACTGGCTTTATTTATCCTATACGCTAAATATTTGCTATCAGGTCTGTCGTCTTTGTATAGGCTGCATCTGTATCGTTGTTTTCGAACGTTCTGCAGCTTTGTCTGTCCGCTTCATTCGTCGTTCGAGGCCGCAAGGCAGCTGAACTACTGCGTTCAGCTATTGTTCTAAACTCGATTAGACCAGGCGACGGCGAAAGTGGCGATGTCAGCGAAAGGATATTATGGTCATCGTCGTCGTCTCGAATTCATCAATGAACACGTCAGCCGGTCGACGGAGTCAGTAAACCAACTATCAACTAATAGCCACTTGTCTCGCTTTTCCTGCGGGTCATATTGTTTTCATTCTTTCCTTCGAGCACAGCGGTATCGTCTCCAGTATCTGTGGGCAAGGGAAAACAGAAATAGTTGACCTGACCATAACAACAGCGCGTACCTCTCTCACCGTTTGACTGCTGTTGCTGTTTAGCTTCTTGGAGCATTGTGACACTACGCACGGGCGACTCTACCCGAAGCAGCGTGCGCAACAGCCGTCTGTAGAGGACTCCTCGCCCGTTCGTGGCAAGACCCTCTCATGAATCTAGCCAGTGGCATGGGCTCATACCCTGCTAGCATGAACCACCAAGTTGATCAGTCGGTTCTATCACTCATCCCTCTCGCTGCTTGTACCTCTCTCGCTCAATGTCGCCTTTCATTCGTTGCCACACGGAAGGACATCACGGTCCTGGTTGCGATCTTGGCCCAGCTTGTCCCAACCACCGGGGCTCACTAGTTCTAACCACAGCGCCAACACAGGAACACTTCTCGCCCCAGTCAGTTGCCGCTGGTAACGCTGCGGCCTCGCCGCTCCCTCTCCTCACGCATGAGGGAAAGGCGAGGAGGACGCATCGGAGCTGCACCAAGGATCTACGTTGACTGCAATGTGCCAACAGGAGCTGTAGCAGTGACAGTGCAAACAAAGTTCAATCGGAAGGCGGAGGCGACCTGCAGAGAACCAGTCAGCCATATGCCGGGTCACCGTTGCCACGCTTTTGTGTCTTGCCATGGCTGGCTCATAACCCACGGCCTAGTCAGCGATACCCTTTCCACAATGGAAAGGGCAAGGCCGTCGTCAGTCGGCCCCAACAAATCGAATTCGTCCAGACTTAGCGCTCCGGCCGCTGACAGTGTCATAGTCTCTAACATGTGGATAACTGCTCCGGGGCTAATGTGAATAACAACATAATGTGCATGTGTGTGTCCGTGTATAGATGAGCGTTTGTAACGCCACGCATCATGTGGACGGAGTCGGCCGCAAAGGGTAGGGAAAAGATAACGGTGCCACATGTGCGCTGGTGCCCAAAACAGACTGTCGATACCCTGACACACGGACAGATGTGGCATTACTGGATTGTTCGAATACCACTAACAGGAACACGTATAATAGTCCCTGAGGCAACGCCCAAGAAACTCACCTGCCACTTCTGGCATAGATGTCTGAATTTCGTTTCCTTGACCAAGTTTGATCCTTGACAGGATGAAGCTTTGGAGCTGTGCTATCTATGCCAGGGTAAATGTTCGTCTGTACTATTTGGTTAATACATTGGGGGGCCGCTGGGGGATGTTCCAAACGTCATCACTGCCTTAGAAAATGCTCGCTTGAATTATCCTCAAGGACTTTTTGTTTTTCGTAGGTTACTGCGAGCAGCAAGAACATTTGGGCTGAAGAGATCTGTATACTATATAACGTAATTTAAATTGAGGCTCCTAACATCGACGCACGATTGTCAACTCGTATGTACAATACGATTACTCAGATAATTCGCATGCAGTATATAGATAGCGATGTATCTGGTTGACGAGTTCACCTGTCAAAAAATGTCCCTACTAACATATAACAAGCAGTCCAGATGCTGGATTCTGGACGCTGCCATCTAACATTTTCCAGTTGTTATTGAAATCTCTAAATAAATTCAGGTATGGTTTGCTAGATTTCTTCAAATTGCAAACATTTCTAAAATCGATGAGGATGAAGCTATGAGTCATTAGGGCAAAGCTCAAACAGTTACCCATCTCAAATGAGTAGCATATCAAAGGTTGTCTGTGTGGCTTTGCGGAGGTGTGCCCTTTTTCAAGAGGGTAAGGACATCTTACGCACAGTATCCCTGTCCTTTTTTTTTCAGCCTTACTTTTTTACTTATAGAAGCCGCTAGTAGCTCAGCGACGCGTGCGTGCGTGTGCTCGAAATTTTCCTCACAGTGTATGCAATGCACTGTACATAGCTAGTTGGGATTTGGGTCTTGGAAAGGATCCTAGTTGGACATCATCCTTTCTATTTGTGTCACCAGCATAGATTCATCAGTTGATTGTACCGCTGCTCATATTTGCAAATATATTGGAGACGTCAGATGCCAGTTCTCACATTTACAACATACTGTTTTTTCAGTTCTTTTAACACACAAGACATTTCGCCCCTTCACGACCATTGGCCCCCACTGTATAACGTTTGCCTTCTCTTTGCTAAGCGTCATGACTGCCGCCGATGTGATCCACGTGAATTTTAACTACAACCGAATAATGGCGAGATAATAAAACGGGAATGGTCTAAAAAGGAAAACATTATCGATCGTAGCTAATACACCTCTTTTTCACTCAGTCCTTGTTGTCGTTTTTTGTTGCTCGTCAACGTTCTTCGACGTGTTATTGCTACGCCACGAGGCTGAGTTGGAGAGAAGGAGACATTTAGGGAAGCGATGTATCGATTCATGGCGGATTTCGTGGGAAGCAAAAGCTCAGAACATTTAATATAAAATCAAGATTAAAAAATGACCATTTTTGCCGATCTGTAGAATGTTTTCCACCTGAACACGTAGAATACTGTTCCGACGGTAAGCACGCAGTTATACGGCCTATACATTTGTTAACTTTCCAACGATTCGAAGTTAATATGATAGCGGCTATGACCAGTTGAGTTGTACGGCGAAACGCTATTACTTCGCACGTTCGTCCGCTGCTTTCATATGTAACATAATGAAATGTAAACCGTCGACATTTAATGGTGGGACAGAGCAATCCGTTTCTTGAGAGAAGCCATTTCCTGCTGGCTGCTTTTCGGTCGACTAGAAACGCAGTGGTACATTTAGCGCCACGTAAAATTTCCAAGCCAAGACTCGTGTGCCCTTTCGACAAAACTTAGCATGAAATAGGTAAGCAGATCTTCTAGACTAATGCCAGTAACTTTCAACAAGATATAGAATGAACAGTTTCTAGCTGATTTACTGATCTTGGAGTTAGCTTTTGCTACTTGAGTTCAAATGCTTCGTACATTCTTGCTACCTGCAATAACGATAATAGTAATAACGGCAACATTAGCGACAATTAGTACCTCGACGAGTGCGTCACGTTCTAGCGCATCGCTTCAGCGTAATAGTAAAGCATGCTGAATCGATGTCGTCCTTCCTAAGATAAACCAAAGTATCTATTCATGTGATTCTAATAACAAGTAAATGTTGAATATCGGAAAGTTGATCTCCCTCACTCTGGTGCTCATTCTCGAACGCCGCTGCTCCTTCTACGGCTGCTCCACAGCTGAGGGGTCCACGAGTCCGGCTAGAGAAATGAACTCGTGGGCGCGAGAGTTCATCGAGGCGAATAGAGCATAGCACGCCTGCGGCAGAACAGGCCGCAGCACCGTCAGTGAACCGCACACAGCTTCGAATGTGGAATGAATCACTGTTGATCCGTCGGTGCCCCCTATCAAAGCACTTCAGCTCATCTCTTTCCGCTTACCACATCCTATTCTGATATGTCGTTACCATGATATATGCAATAACGTTTAACATCGAGGTAACTGTAACAGTATTGTTTCCACGATGCAACAGTAGCTTCAGAACATTTGCCCTGCTTTTTCGATCTATTATTATACCTTTTTCTTCTATCTAGTAGCACAGTAGTGAATGCGGGTCTGATCCACGTGCCACGGTGTTCAGTCAATGCACGCGCATACATTATTATCCTGAAGTAAGGGCGCACAGAATCAACTGCGCGAGCTCCTGGCATGGTAACTCTGGAGGCAGAGTCAACACGACGACCCTCTGCAGAGTCACATGTTCCCCCTATTATATGAAGATTAGGAGACGAGTTTGTCATGGAATATGCGCGTACAAATGGCAGCGTTGTAAGAAGAGGTCGTTGTTTCAGCTGAGCGAATACTGACGGCTGTGTGACCTTATGACTAAGAGCCATCTATTTCCAAAATTAGCAAATTCACAGTTGAGGAAGCTCTAGGTTTTTTCTAGCACAGAGGTAGAGACATTAGAAATGGCTAGCATTTCGTACCAAAGGTTATGTCTGCTGTAATCCTAAACGCAGGGCATTTTTGTATCCGGCAAAACATGGCCTGATTAAGGCTTCAGGTATCTCATGCTAATATAATGGTAGACAGTATAAATAAAATAGTAAAGGTGTAAGCTCTTCAGTCTCTCCTGAACCTGTGCAGACATCTTCGTTACGATGGAAAAGCTTAATGGGAATCGTTGCCGTAACGTATTCAAGAGTACAAATTAATAAAATCTCAAAACTCACTCATCTTCGTTCTGGATAGGGAAGATCTGGACAACACTAAAACGGATTTGGCTAAATTCGTTGATCTTAGCAGTGGCCCAGAAGTTGATCTGAAAACGCAATGAACGCAGAAAACGAATCTGGAATATTGCCGTTAAGGAAAACACTGTCAGAGCATTTTTGGCCCCATATAGCACGGGGGGGGGGGGGG